CATCCGTCTTCTTTGCCATCAAAGATGCCATTATAGCCGCAAGAGCAGAAGCAGGTTACAACGACTGGTTTCCTCTTGATAATCCTGCAACGCCTGAACGGATTCGGATGGCTTGTACTGATGAATTTACCACACGATTTGTCAACTCAGATTTCCGCCCTAAACTTAGTGTTTGATGCAATATTTTACTGTTTTCTATAATTTATTGTACACCAGAAATCAGAAATCACTACTGGTATATTCTGATGACTTGGCCTAATGTGCTTTTCTGTGAGTCCAAGCTTGATTGAGTAATGCACACGAAATGATTATATGCTTAAATGGAACATTGTAATGTAAATTCACAAGTACTTAAAGTACATAAACATACAGGATATGTTTGGTTTGTATTTGTGAGATGGGTTTTAGAAAGAAAAAAAATTAAAAAATTGTTTGGTTTGAGTTTTTCTCAAAAAAATTTCAAAATCACTTTCTCTCTCTTACACATCAATCAATCACTTTTCTCTTTCCTCTCATTCTCAATCACTTTTTCTCTCACATACATATACTCAAATTCTTCCAAAATATCAAATCATCCCAAACTTTCAAAAAAAACAACTCTCTCAAAATATACAGCCAAACAAACCAAAAAAATTTCTAAATTCTCTTCCTAAATTTTTTTTCAAAAACAATTCTTCCAAAAACAAACCAAACAAGCCCACAGTGTCTCTTTTTTTGTTTTGTGTGTGTGTGTGCGCGCGCGCATTTGTGTGTGTGTGTGTGGTGATATGATAATATGATAAAATGGTTGACATGTTCAGCTGCTGATGAAAATACAGAACAATTCAATGAAACTACCACCCTTCGGCCTGCTTCATGAACAGTTTGGTGATCTCATTACCCATGTTTTTTTATTGCTTCTTTCTCATTCAATTTTTTTCCCATCTCAATCTCTCTTTGTCTATCGGTTCATCTACTAAAGTAATTTAAGTATAATAGAGAATGAGAGTGGAATGATTTTGAGGTCCTTATTAGTCATTATGCCTGGCATTGACTGCATCTCTTTACTTTGTATGATTGAGACGTCTTGCATTTCCCGAGACGAAACCGGAGCGGATTTGTTGCTCAAGTGTGTTATATGGAATGTTTTATTTTTGACGAAGAATTCTTGTTTAGTGTGTATGATAAGGGCAAGAATTTAAAATATGTATCCAATATTCGTATTCGATTTAAACATTCTCTATCAAAAAAATTTTTAACATTTGGTTTTTTATTTTTATTTTTATTGATGTCTAAAGTATAAGAAATTCATATTTACTAGTAAAGCAATTATAGTAGTAAATTATCTTTATTGGATATGACAAAATAGTCTATAAAAATTTACTAGTAAAGATTATAAATTATAAATAAAATAATTTACCAACAAATATGAACTGAGAAAATTAGTGACAAATCTAATTTAAGAAGGGTGTAAGATATTAAGTCTAATGAATATTTTTTGTTAGTGAGAAGTTTATGCTTATAAAATAATTTGGTGACCATTCTTAGAAGACATTTTGTTTTCAATTTTACCTCAACTTCATTTTTTTTTTCCTTTGATGTGTTTTGACTTTTTATTGATTATCTGTTCAAATTTATATCTATTTGTTTAAATTTTGTCTACATATTCAAATTTATATCTGTCTATTCAAATTTTTTAACTATTTGTTCATTTTTTTCCCCTATCTGTTCAATTTTTCTCATAAATTCTATCCATTTGTTCAATTTTTCCCTCAATTCTATTATCTGTTCAATTTGGATACTTTTTATGCCAAAGAGAGAGAGATAGAGAGAGAAATTTCTAGAAATATGTGTATGTGCTAGTGTGTGTGTGTATGTGTGTGTGTGTGTGTGAGAGAGAGAGAGATTGTTCAAAAAAAAAATGGAGAGAGAAGGGTTTGGGAAAACATTCATTTATACCCTAGGTATTTTGGTCTTTTTGACTCATGTCCTTACGGATAAAATATTTTAGCACTTCGATCTATTTTTTTTTATCAGCAAAATGAAACTTTATTAATGAAGAAAGCAAAATATGTTAGAACTTACATCAATAAATATGGAAAGTGCAAATGCGAGCACTAACCCAAAGATTGGTGAGAAGCCAATTAGGAGGAACCAAAAAAACATAGCCTACAACAGTACTGCTGCAATGATCATACAATTTTATAAAATGGACTTTTGGATTGAATGTCCATGTGAATTTTCTCTTTAGGAAATTTGAATTTCTTTACTAGTAAATTTTATAAATTATTTTTATTTTTTGGAAATAAAATAGATATTAAACAAGTTTTTAATTTTTAATTTTTGTATATATATTGTAATTTTTTTTTTGATGGGCAAAATAGATCTTTATTGATGGAACCAAACAAAGTTGAGAAAGACATCAATAAAGAGGAGCTCCGAGCTAAAGAAGCTCGAAGCTCCAGTTGGTGAGAAACCAACAAGAAAAGGAAAGAAGAATTGAAAGCAAAACAAGCAACAGAAAACAAAGCAGAACACAGTATAACAACCAGCTCACAGCAGAGCAACCAAAAGCACAACAGTGCCAAACAACCATCTCACAGAAGAAGACAAATCACCCTACACCAAATCTGAATGCTGCTCCCACTATGACTTCAAAACAAATCTGTGATATGTCTACAAACATACCACAGCTGAGCAACACAGCCTGCCGCCACTTAATGCCTACGAAGACTTCAAGCATGCAGTCTTATCTGGTGCAAATTGGATACCGGATCGTGAACTGAATAGTCCACCTTGAAAAACCATTTTACTCACAGTGCTATTTGAACTTTCATTCTCTCGCTTAATCCTCCAAAGTCTGGTGCAACACCCTTAAACAAACATTCGTTCCTTAATTTCCAAACCAACCACAACACGAGAGAAGGGATAGCCTGCCAAGCTCTAGAAGTCCAAGACTTCCCTTTACCCACAGCCCACAACTTTAGCAAACCCTCCACTGAGCCCGGAATTACCTAAGACTGATCCCACCACCTGACCATGGCTGCCCAGCAATTCCAAACCAGAGGACAGAACAAAAACACATGCTCCAAAGACTCCTCCTCACTCTGACAGAACACACACTGGGACACTGCATTGGCAGGTAAGACCCCAATCCTATGTAGGAATGACGAAGTCTTTACTCTGCCTCTCCAAGTCAACCAGCAGAAGAATTGCATCTTTGGAGATGCCATACTTTCCCACACCCCAGCTGGCACCCTCACACCTGATTCTTTAACTGCAGCCCACCAGCACCATACTGAGGATACTGAAAACTTCCCAGATTTATCTGCAAGCCAGGAACAAGAGTCTTCAATTTCCTCCCTGAGTGCAGGAGATGATTCCAGAAATCCGGACAGCCTCTTCACTTCCTCATCCTCCCAAGCCAGCAGACGTCTTCTAAATTGAAATTGCCATACCCCAAGACTCTTTTTTGCACTTATTTGCAATAAGGATTCTTCCTTCTCAGTGGATAGGCTATTCAATCTGGGGTAATCCTCCTTCAAACTTCTACCATTAAGCCAAGCATCTGTCCAAAACTGAATGCTCTTTCCATTACCCACTGATAACTTTAGGTTTTATTCATAGTATTCACCCATAGGCTGGTTTATTGAATTGAGTTGCACTATATCTTTCCACACAGTGGACACCCCATCTGTGCTTTCCAGAGATGGCACCCAACCCCCTCCAAATCTGCCATATTTTGAGCATACCACCGATTTCCACAAGACTTTATCCTTTGCACCATATCTTCACCACCATTTCAGCAACAGACACTCATTCACCTCACCCAAATCCCTCACCCCCAAACCCCCTTGATTTTTGCTTTTTGTTACCTCACCCGAACCTACCAAATGAACACTCCTCTTTGTATCTGATCCACTCCACATAAAATTGGACTGAATTTTGACCAAAGCCTTAACAATCCCCTTAGGCATTTTGAAAATGGAGAGAAAGTAGATAGGTAAATTAGTGAGAACTGATTTAATCAAGGTCAAAGGCCCGGCAAAAGAGAGTAGTTTTCTTTTCCAAGATGACAACTTCTTTCTCACCTTCTCCACTATTGGACTACAGGTGCTCTTCCTCTTGGGATTGGCCCTTAGAGGCATACCTAAAAAGTTGAAAGGTAATTTCTTAGAGATACAATTCAGTCTTTGAGCCAAACCCAAAATTTCCTCCTCTTGAAAACCCACACCGCACACTACACTCTTATGATAATTGATTTTCAAACCGGATATCACTTTAAAACACCTCAACAACCTTTCAATATTTAGCACCTCCTCCATACCACCTTCACAAAACACTATTGTATCATCTGCAAATTGAAGATGTGAAATTCGCAGATCATTACCTCCTACTGAGGCACCTCTAAACAGGCCTATCCCCACTGCCCTAACCAATAGTAGATTGAGAGCTTCAGCTGCAATATTGAACAAAAAAGGTGAAAGGGGATCACCCTGCCGAAGCTCCTTCTGTGGCTGAAATTTGTCTGTGGGTGAGCCATTAACCAAAACAGACACCTTGGTTGTAGAAACACAAGTCCTCATCTAGCCTATCCATTTCTCACCAAAACCAAAGTTGTTCAACATGGACCACAGAAACTCCTAATTAATTGAGTCATAAGCTTTTTCGAAGTCTAATTTTAGGATAACACCTTTCTTTCTTGATCTTTTCCATGCATCTACAACTTCATTGGCTATTAACACACCATCTAAAATGTACCTTCCACTCACAAAAGCAAACTGTACTTCACTAATCACTGATGGCAGAACTCTTTACAGTCTTCTGGAAAGCACCTTTGCCAAAATTTTATAGACCGAGCTAACTAGGCTTATAGGTCTATAATCCCCCATTCCTACTGGATTATCCTTCTTCGGAATCAGTGTAGTGAAAGAACTATTGACCCCTTCAGGCAGCTTACCATTTTGGTAAAATTCATTCACCATTTGTAGTATCTCCCCTTTCAATATAGACCAACACTGTTAAATGCACTTCAGATTAAAACCATCTGGGCCTGGTGCTTTGTTCCCATCATAATCCTTTACTGCATTCCATGCCTCATCTTCTAAGAACTCAATTTCCAAGTTGCCAACATCCACAGTACTAATAACAGCAAAAGGGCCTAGAATTTTGGGCCTAACCTTCCAATTCTCAGAGAACAACACATTGAAGTGCATAGCCACTTCTTGTTTCACCTGAACTGGATTCTCTACCCATGTACCCTCCACAACAAAAGAGTCTAACAGATTTTTCCTCTGCCTTCTACTTGCCATAATGTGAAAGTACCTAGTATTTTGATCCCCAGAATGAGCCCATACATGTCTGGACTTTTGATGCCATAACCTTTCCTTACTCCTACTAAGCTGCCACACCTGGCTTCTAACTTCTCTTCTTCGCTTGAGTTCCTGAACTTCAAGGGACCTAGACTCTGCCTTCAAATCCCATTCATGTAGCTCCTTCTCTGTTGCCTTTAACTGAGTGTCTATATTGCCAAACACCTCCTTATTCCACACCCTTAAGTGACTCCTAAGCATATTCAGTTTTTTCATCTCCAAACCCAGCCCACCCTTGAACTTGAGCTTCCTCCCACCTCTTTTTGACTTCAGACATGAATGGTTTATGAGATAACCAGACATTTATAAATTTCAAAGGTTTTGGACCCCAATCCCTATCATATTCCTTAATCAAGATTGGGCAGTGGTCAGAAATTGACCTAGGTAGACCCAATTGCTTAAAAGAAAACTTTTCTATCCACTTCAAGTCTAACAGGAATCTATCAATCCTACTCCACCTATTCCCATGCAGAGCATTGCACCAAGTATACTGCCTTCCTAGCAAAGGCATATCTGTTAATTCCAATTTTTCCACCAACTCATTAAAATCCTTCATCCATCTTTCTCTAGATGAACAACCTTTCCTCTCACCCATGTATCTAATCTCATTAAAATCTCCTCCCACACACCACGGGTTTGGAAAATGTTGATGGATCCTCACCAGAGAATCCCACAGTTGTCTCCTCCTTATAACCTCATTAGGAGCATAGATATTCACCAGAGTGCACTGAAAAGTATTACTAGACATACCTGATAGAATAATGAAATTTTTGCTACTGCAACAATCCTTGAGCTTGAAGACTTGTGGCTTCCAAATACTTATGAGGCCTCCTGCACTACCCTCAGAGTCAACCACCATAAATTTCACTTCTTCATAAGGCCAGATTGTTTTCACAAAATTATCATCCATATAACTTATTTTAGTCTCATGTAGAAAGAGCACATCAACACTTCTGTCCCTCACCAGGCTTTTTGTTTTTCCCCTTTTTTCTGGCCTTCCCAGCTCTCTAACATTCCAAGATAAAATCTTCATAATAACACACTATTGACACCCATTCTCCTATAAACAACCAGCAAAGTTCTAATTGCCCTTTGTCCCCCTTCAATTCTACTCAAGTCCTTCTCTTCCAGCTCCACTATTCTGCTCACTACCTCCTCATCTTTGCCTTGGCAATCCATTCCCAACATTGTGCCTACTCTCACAGTTGCCTTGGCCTCCTCAACCAATTGCCTCCTTCTGTTCACTGCCTGACTCTGATTATTAGCCGTTAGGTAAGCTGCTGCCTCTGCCGAAGCTCTAAAAATTGCTCCCCTCTGAAAACCCAGTTTTCCAAACACCCCTCTCCCTCGTTCTATTCCTTTCTTCCAAGTCTTTCCCCTATTCTGCACTGCCCCTTCCTTTATATTACCCACTTTTGCATTCCTTTGGGCCAAGTTTATCTGAGTTGTTTGGGTTGCATTAGGCCTAAGTTGAGTTTGGACCATATTGTCACTCAGATCCGACATTGCCTTAAGAGGCCTGTGCTACACATTGCCTCATCTCTAACTTGAATTTCGTTCTAACTTGACTTGGAAGAGTTGACCTTCTTCTCCACCCCCTAGCCTTGGAACCTGCACCGATATAGCCCTTCCCCACGCTCCCCCCTACAGCTACCACTTTGTTTGCTTGCTTTCCATCATTATCCGTACCCTGTTTTTCAGAACTGTCCATCACAGTCTCCTCTACCCTACTAGCCCCCTCAAATCCATCACTCACCAACCCCTCTCTTCCTTCAAACGCTTCCCTAGTATACTTGCTTCGTCCTCCATTGCCAGACAATTGATCTTCCTCTTCTATGCCTTTGGAATGCAGCCGACCGTGATCTTTCCCACTGCTCTGAGAAGGACTAGAAAATAAGCACCTAGGCAACTCTTCACAGACTCTAATTGGAATTTGACAACCTTTGTGCTCCAGAACAACTGTTGTATTAATCCACTCTAGACATCTCGTATTACTCTAACCTTGGTTTGTTGAAAAGTTAATGGATTGTTGAAATCCTCCTCAAACTGAACTACCTCCCCCCAATAACTTCCTATGCTTCGAACCGTCGTGGTGCTCCATAGGTTGATCGGAATGCCAAAACAGTGCAACCATACATACCTCTCTTGCTCGAAAAACTGGCTTTCTTCCCACTCGTTGATGGAGTCACACCACTTCTCTCCCCATCCCTACAGCTCTCTTTTACCTTCCTGCATGAGCTTTGCCGAGGGAAAAGTTAAAAGCACCAGTTTGCCTCTCCCCTCTCTTGCAACTACATCCGTCATGCCCGTACTTATCATTTCCTCCCTGAAATCCTTGAAAGCTAAAAAAGCTACTCAGTTGAACTATTAAACTTTCACTCCTCCACTCGTTCCCTTCCGCTTGAGCCTTTATCACCACCCTTTCTCTGCCTCTGGCATCTGCACTTAGTAATACCTCTACATAGAATTTCTGGTCTCCCTTACCAGTACATTTCGGTGCTTGCACCCATCTATTCTACACTCGACCTTCATCTCCTCTGCTCAGCCCCCTAGGCTTCTGCTACCCTTCTGCCAGAATCTTTTGATATTCTGCACGATTTACCCTCAGTGCCTTGTTCCCACACCACAAACCATCTACTTTCTGTATCGCCACCCTAGTAGCCACCTGACAATCGTATCTTACGAACCCGAATCTGGAATTTGAAGCTTTCCTCCACTTTTCTGGAACAAACACATCTTTAACTAAGCCAAACTTTCGAAAGAGAGTGAATAAACTTTTGGAATCCATTGAGTCAGGAATGTTGTCCAAAAAAATGGTAATCCAGCCTCCCTCCGTGGTATCTCTCAGTTGACTTCCCACTTTTCTTCTGCGTAACACTGGTTTCTATCCTCCCCGAGGCAGGACACTGGCAGAACTGGATGCAGAGATGAATCGAGGTGGCGAGCCTACGCGCACAGGGAGTAGGACGTTGGGGGAGTGTGAGAGGCGTCACTCCCCACGTCGTCGAAGTAGGTCACCCAAGAAGGAGAAGCAGCAACGAGGTAACTCCTCTCGTTCGAAAGAAGAAACCAGTGGGCCACCGCACCCATGGAGTTTTTCGGTCTTCGTTGGGAACAAATCGATGACGGAAGCGGATTCGATTATCCGTGACCCAAATGTGGCAGTCGCGTTCGCTCGACAGATTTTTCCGCCAGAAGTCCAGCAGTTGATGGTCGGCCGGGCCGATTATGAAGTTTTTCGGGAGGGCGTCCATGGAGCAGTAAAAGGGTTATATACCTCCTATGAAATCGGCATGCATCTTCGTGCCAAGCGAAGAGAGATAGAGAAAAAAGATGGTCGCATTCGGAGCTTGCAAGCTCGCGCAGAGAAGGCCGAAAATGAGCTGGCGTAATTGTCCACATAAGTTTGGTGTTTTAGGCCTTAGACACCACCTTATTTGAGTTTATTGCATTTATTTAGTGCTTTTCTTACTTGTTCTCATCCTTAATCACCGCTACAACCTTCCTCATTTCTTAGTTTTTTCTTTGCTTTGAAAGTGGTTTCAAACTATTTATTTGTTTAAGCATGAGATTAAGGTGTCATGCCTAATAGTTTAATCCCTTTGGGGGTTCATTACCAACAGTATGATGTCTCTTCCATACCCAAAGCAACACTTGGTTTGAGCCCTCTTTCCATTAGAGGACTTAAACTCACTTTTGGACTTAGTTGATTAAAGAATTGAAAGGTAACCAAAATAAAATAATAAAATTGGTGAATAAAAAGGTGCAAGATAATAATTTGGTTTGCGTTCAATTGAACATTAATTAAACCCTTGAGCTTTGAGTCGTTTCATACTCCATAATGATGAAAACGGTTTAAGATTCATTATCAACTACTTCCCTTGATCTTTCATGATAGGGACGTGGTTTTGAGAGTCTTGTTTTGTTACATCCAATGAACTTGCACACTTTGGTTCATAGGCCATCATGCAATGAAATTGCATAGATTGATGGTTCATGAATCAAGTTTTATTACTCCTTTGAGTTGTTCAAATGATAAGGAGGGATAAATTGCGCAAAAAAAACCCTTGAGAATACACCGTCTTTGCTCTATTTGCTCTCTATTGCAGCAGGGAAGTTCAGCCATCAGTGGCCGGTAGGCCACCTTCAGTGGACAACAAGCCATCATTAGTGGACAGCAGGCACTCTGTCGGCCACCAGTGCAAAATCAAACAGTGTCCTTCTAAAACAGAACAGAGTTGGTCTGGAGTTGGAAATTAGTGCAAATGTTCAACTGTGCAACAGAGGCATTCAGCAGCAGAAATAGTGGCTTTTTTGGGTGAAAACAACATTCATGCATGAGCCTTCCATCGATCTTCGAGATTCGTGTTGTAAATATATTAGTGTGGTGATTAAAATAGTGGCTTTGTAATTAATTAGTTAGAATAGCTAATTCATCCCGTATTGTAATTATTTTAATTAGCTAGATTAGTTAATTAATTCGATTTGTAATAATTAGTTA